CCCATCAAAATGCCCAATTTTTTCCCCAAAAGACCTGAATTTCCCCCAAATTCCCGTTTTTCCTCCAAAATTCCCAAATTTTCCCCCAAAATTCCCAAATATTCCCCAAATTCCCGACTTTTCCACCCAAAACCCATCTTCCTCCCAAAATTCCCATTTTTTTACCCTAAAATTCCCAAGTTTTTGCCCCAAATTTCCCATTTTTTAGGCTAAAATTCCCAATTTTTTCCCCCAAAATCCAGATTTTCCCCAAATACCCGTTTTTCCCAAAATCCCGTTTTTCCCCAAATCCCCGTTTTCCCCTCATTTCCCCAAATCCCGTTTTCCCCAAAATCCCCATTTTTCGTCCCGTTTTTCCCAATCTCTGTTTTCATTCCCGATTTTCCCCAAATCCCTGTTTTTTCCCAAAATCCCCATTTTTCCCCAAATCCCATTTTTCCCCCCCGTTTTTCCCAAAATCCCCATTTTTCCGCCTCGTTTCCCATTTTTCCCCCAATTCCCATTTTCCTTGTTTTTCCTGAAATCCCCGTTTTTTGCCCGTTTTTCCCGAAATGCCCGTTTTTTCCCGAAACAGCCGTTTCCTGCCCCGTTTCCCTGTTTTCCCCCGTTTCCCGTTTTTTCCCGTTTTTCTTTTCCCGTTTTTCACCCCGTTTTTTCCCCGTTTTTTCCCGAAATCCCGTTTTTTCGCCCCGTTTTTTCCCGAAATCCCCGTTTTTTCCCGAAATCCCGTTTTTTCGCCCCGTTTCTTCCTGTTTTTTCCCGAAATCCCATTTTTTCGCCCCGTTTTTCCCGAAATCCCCGTTTGTTCCCGTTTTTCCCTCGTTTCCCCGTTTTTTGCCCCGTTTTTGCCCGTTTTTCCCCAAAATCCTGTTTTTCACCCCGTTTTTTCCTGTTTTTCCCGAAATCCCCGTTTCCCATTTTTCCGAAATCCCCGTTTTCTCGTCCCGTTTTTTCGCCCCGTTTTCCCGTTTTTCCCCGTTTTTCCGCCCCGTTTCCCCGTTTTTCCCGAAATCCCCGTTTTTCCCCGTTTTTCCCATTTTTTCGCCCCGTTTTTCCCCGTTTTTTCTCCCCGTTTTCCCGTTTTTCCCGAAATCCCCGTTTTTCGCCCCGTTTTTCCCGAAATCCCGTTTTCTCACCCCGTTTTTCCCCGTTTTCTCGCCCCATTTTTTCTCCCCGTTTCCCTGTTTTTCCCGAAATCCCGTTTTTTTGCCCCGTTTTCCCGTTTTTTCCCCGTTTTTTCCCCGTTTTTCCCGTTTTTCCGCCCCGTTTCCCCGTTTTTCCCGAAATCCCGTTTTTTCGCCCCGTTCCTCACCTTACCGTTTCTCGCCCCATTTTTCCCATTTTTTCGCTCCTTTTTTCCTCGTTTTTCCTCTCCGTTTTCCCGTTTTTCCCATTTTTTCGCCCCGTTTTTTGCCCCGTTTCTCCCCGTTTTTATTCCCCGTTTTCCCGTTTTTCCCGAAATCCCCGTTTTTTCCCCGTTTTTCCCCGTTTTTTCTCCCCGTTTTTTTCCCCGTTTTCCCCGTTTTTCCCAAAATCCCGTTTTTTCGCCCCGTTTTTTCCCGGTTTTTCCCCGTTTTCCGCCCCGTTTTTCCCGTTTTTCCCATTTTTTCTCCCCGTTTCCCCGTTTTTCCCGTTTTTCCCGTTTTTCGCCCCGTTTTTCGCCCCGTTTCTCACCTTGCCGTCGGGCCCGAAGGGGGCGGGGCCGTTGGGGAGGGGCGGGGCGGGGGCGGGGCCGCCCTTGGGCTCGAAGGGGGGGGAGGGGCAGGGGGCGGGGCTGGGGGCGGGGCCGAGCAGCGCCGCCCCTCCCCCCCCGCCCGCCGCGCCCGCAACCGGGTCCTTCCTGTGAATTGGGGCGAAAAAACGGGATTTTGGGAAAAATTTAACACACCGCGAGGTTCGGGGGGAAAAAACGCGATTTTGGGAAAATTGAACGGGAGATTTGGGGGGAAAACGGGGATTTTGGGAAAAATTTAACACACCGCGAGGTTCGGGGCGAAAAACCGGGATTTTGGGAAAAAATCGAACGGGAGATTCGGGGGAAAACAAGGATTTTGGGAAAAAAACACACACCGCGAGATCGGGGGGAAAAACAGGGATTTTGGGAAAAATACACACACCGCGAGGTTCGGGGGGAAAAAACGCAATTTTGGGAAAATCGAACGGGAGATTCAGGGGAAAAACGGGATTTTGGGAAAAAATCGAACAAGAGATTTTGGGGGGAAAAACGGGGATTTTGGGAAAAATACACACACCGCGAGGTTCGGGGGGAAAAAACGCAATTTTGGGAAAATCGAACGGGAGATTCGGGGGAAAAACGGGATTTTGGGGAAAATACACAAACTGCGAGGTTCAGGGCAAAAAATGGGGATTTTGGGAAAAAATCGAACGGGAGATTTGGCGGAAAAACGGGATTTTGGGAAAAATACACACACCGGGAGATTGGGGGGAAAAAACACGATTTTGGGAAAATCGNAAACGGGATTTTGGGAAAAATACACACACCGGGAGATTGGGGGGAAAAAACACGATTTTGGGAAAATCGAACGGGAGATTTGGCGGAAAAACGGGGATTTTGGGAAAAATCCACACACCGCGAGATCGGGGCGAAAAACGGGGATTTTGGGAAAAAATCGAACAGGAGATTCGGGGGAAAAACGGGGATTTTGGGAAAAATACACACACCGGGAGATTTGGGGGGAAAAACTGCGATTTTGGGAAAAAATCAACTAGGAGATTCGGGGGAAAAACGGGGATTTTGGGAAAAATCGACACACCGCAAGATTCGGGGAGGAAAACGGGGATTTTGGGAAAAAATCGAACAGGAGATTTGGGGGAAAAACGGGGATTTTGGGAAAAATTTAACACACCGCGAGGTTCGGGGGGAAAAAACGCTATTTTGGGAAAATCGAACAAGAGATTTGGGGGAAAAACGGGGATTTTGGGAAAAATACACACACCGCGAGATTCGGGGCGAAAAACGGGGATTTTGGGAAAAATTTAACACAACGGGAGATTCGGGGCGAAAAACGGGGATTTTGGGAAAAAATCAACTAGGAGATTCGGGGGAAAAACGGGGATTTTGGGAAAAATTTAACACAACGGGAGATTTGGGGGGAAAACGGGGATTTTGGGAAAAATTTAACACACCGGGAGGTTCGAGGGGAAAAACGGGGATTTTGGGAAAAAATCGACTAGGAGATTCGGGGGAAAAACGGGGATTTTGGGAAAAATACACACACCGGGAGGTTCGAGGGGAAAAACGGGGATTTTGGGAAAATCGAACGGGATATTTGGGGGAAAACGGGGATTTTGGGAAAAATCCACACACCGGGAGATTTGGGGGGAAAACCGCGATTTTGGGAAAAAATCGAACGAGAGTTTTGGGAAAAAAACGGGGATTTTGGGAAAAAATACACACACCGGGAGATTTGGGGCGAAAAATGGGGATTTTGGGAAAAAATCGAACGGGAGATTCGGGGGAAAAACGGGGATTTTGGGAAAAAATCGACACACCGGGAGATCGGGGCAAAAAACGGGGATTTTGGGAAAAAATCGACCGGGAGATTCGGGCGAAAAACGGGGATTTTGGGGAAAAAATCGACTGGGAGATTCGGGGTTAAAAATGGGGATTTTGGGAAAAAATCAACCGAGGGGGTTTGGGGTTAAAATCGGGGATTTTGGGGAAATCAATGGGATTGGTGGGGTTACTTTGGGATATTTTAGGGATATTTTGGGATAATTTGGGGATATTTTAGGTTATTTTTATGATATTTTGGGATAATTTTGGGGTAATTTTGGGATATTTTGGGATATTTTAGGGATATTTTGGGATAATTTGGGGATATTTTAGGTTATTTTTATGATATTTTGGGATAATTTAGGGATATTTTGGGATATTTTTGGATATTTTGGGATAATTTGGGGATATTTTGGGATATTTTTATGATATTTTGGGATAATTTTGGGGTAATTTTGGGATATTTTGGGACACTCACGTGGCCGAGCCGGGGGTCCCGTGTCTCGAGGGGAGCTGGGGTTACTTTGGGGTAATTCAGGATATTTTTGGGATACTTTAGGGATATTTTGGGATAATTTTGGGATATTTTGGGGTAATTTTGGAATATTTTGGGACACTCACGTGGCCGCGCCGGGGGTCCCATGCCCCGGGGGGGGCTGGGGTTACTTTGGGGTAATTCCGGATATTTTTGGGATATTTTGGGATAATTTTGGGATAATTTTGGGATAATTTAGGATAATTTTGGGACACTCACGTGGCCGAGCCGGGGGTCCCGTGCCCCGGGGGGGGCTGGGGTTACTTTGGGGTAATTCAGGATATTTTTGGGATATTTTTGGGATATTTTGGGATACTTTAGGGATATTTTGGGGTAATTTTGGATAATTTTGGGACACTCACGTGGCCAAGCAGGGGGTCCCGTGCCCCAGGGGGGGTTTGGGGTTACTTTGGGATATTTTAGGATATTTTTGGGATACATTAGGGATATTTTGGGATACTTCAGGGATATTTTGGGGTAATTTTGGGATATTTTGGGGTAATTTTGGATAATTTTGGGACACTCACGTGGCCGAGCCGGGGGTCCCGTGCCCCGGGGGGGGCTGGGGTTACACTTTGGGATAATTCAGGATATTTTTGGGATATTTTGGGATAATTTTGGGATATTTTGGGACACTCACGTGGCGGCGCCGGGGGTCCCGTGCCCCGGGGGCTGCCCCAGGGGGGGCTGGGGTTACTTTGGGATAATTCAGGATATTTTTGGGATATTTTGGGATACATTAGGGATATTTAGGGATAATTTTGGGATAATTTAGGAATATTTTGGGACACTCACGTGGCGGCGCCGGGGGTCCCGTGCCCCGGGGGCTGCCCCAGGGGGGGCTGGGCGCCGCCCCCCCCCAGCCCCGGATCCGCGGAATTGTCGGCGACCACGGAGCTGTAACCTGGGGGGGTTCCAAAAGAGCCCAAAAATCACCCAAAGAAACCCAAAAAAATCCCCCAAAGTTGCACCGAGTAACCCCCGAAACAATGAAAAATAAATAGAGCTAAAAAAATCACCAAAAAGAGACCAATTAGCCCCAAAAACAATGAAATAACCCGAATAAACCAGCCAAAAAGCGAAAAAACAACCCAAAAAGCAGCAAAATAACCCAAAAACCCCAAAATGACCCCAAAAAATCTCCCAAAAATCCTCAAAATAACCCAAAAATCCTCAAAATAACCCAAAAAAGCTCAAAATAACCCACGAATAACCCCAAAAAACCCCAAAATAAAAACCCCAGTGCCCCTTGAACCCCTCCCAGTTTATCCCAGTCCCTCCCAGTGTGTCCCTGTCCTTCCCAGTCCCCATTTAACCCCTCCCAGTCCCTCCCAGTTTATCCCAGTCCCTGTTTTACCCCCCCCAGTCCATCCCAGTTTGTCCCAGTCCCCATTTCACCCCTCCCAGTCCCTCCCAGTCCGCATTTAACCCCTCCCAGTTTATCCCAGTCCCTCCCAGTTCCCTCCCAGTTTGTCCCAGTCTATCCCAGTCCCTCCCAGTCCCCATTTAACCCCTCCCAGTTTATCCCAGTCCCTCCCAGTCCCCATTTAACCCCTCCCAGTCCCTCCCAGTCGCTCCCAGTTTATCCCAGTCCCCATTTAACCCCTCCCAGTCCCTCCCAGTC